AACGGGACTGAAGCGTTTGTGTATGAAATGGCAAATAGATTCCGGGAGGGAACCGGTTCTCAAACGGGTTCTGTCTGAAATGACAGACCAGAACCCGTTTGAGAACCGGTTCCCTTCCGGAATCTATCGCCTGTCTGAAATTCCCCAGAGAGAAAGTGTGTGTGTGTGTGTGTGTGTGTGTGTGTGTGTACGTACGTACGTACACATACTAGCCTCTATTCTGTGCACTTCTGCCCAGGCCTCCAGTGTGGTTTCACGTGGGCCCTTTTTTGAAGAGCACTTATACTGGCAGGCTTTTTGCCAGGACTCAGCCGGGAATACTCTCCTTTGCCTTCCCCTTTCCAAGTGTTGAACTGGGCAATTTTAATTGTAATTGGACTGCAGTGGCTCAGAGGTTAGGATGCTGAGCTGCAGACCGGAAGGTCTGTAGTTCGGCAGTTCAAGACCCGAGTGCCGCATGACGCTCCCATCTCTGGCCCCAGCTCCTGCCAACCTAGCAGTTTGAGCAAGTAGATGAATAGGTACTGCTTCAGTGGGAAGGTAACAGTGTTCCGTACGCCTCAGCGTTTAGTCATGCCGGCCACGTGGCCACGGAGAAGTCTTCGGACAGCGCTGGCTCTTCGGCTTGGAAACGGAGACAAGCACCTAGAGTCAGATCCGACTGGCTTTCGAGCAAGGGAAACCTTGACCTTTACCTTAATGGTCAAATTCAAGGAAGCAGTGTCGTGACGCTTAAAGACGGCGGCTTCAGAGAGGGATCCTTACCATCACAAAGGCTGCCCCGGAGTGTGGTGGGGGAGGCCTCCCTGCACCCCTGGGGCTGACTTTGCCCCCCTTTCCTTGGCAGCGTTCATCGGCTTTGAGGGCAACAACAAGTACGAGGTCCTCAACAACCTGGGCCAGCAGATCTTCCACGCGGAGGAGGAGAACGACTGCTGCACGCGCAACTGCTGCGGCTCCCTCCGCCGCTTCTCCATCCGGGTGGAGGACCCCGCAGGCCGCGAGATCCTGCGCGTCGTGCGCCCCCTGAAGTGCGCCAGTTGCTGGTTCCCGTGCTGCCTTCAGGAGGTGAGGCCGGGGGAGGGGCTTCTCCGGCTTGGCCTCCCACCCAGCATGGCTGGAGGGGGGGTGGGCACCGACGTGCAGGAAACGGGGGTCACTTCCTGGACCTGTGCTGCCTTGGCCGCATTCCGGCCAGGCCCCCGTGACACTGCAGCAGGCTCATCTCGGAGTTAGCTGTGGCTCCGTGTGCCTCGGCGTCTAGTCATGCCGGCCACATGACCATGGAGAAGTCTTCGGACAGCGCTGGCTCTTCGGCTTGGAAACGGAGATGAGCACCGCCCCCTAGAGTCGGATTTGACTGGCTTTCGAGCAAGGGAAACCTTGGTGGGGGGGAGACAGTCGGGTAGCAAAACACCCTGGAACTGGCCTTGCCGTCTCCTCCTAACCTTAATTGGGCTTAACCCAATTGAATGGTCTTGATCCTGCCTACGCAGAAGCCTTTGCTCAGCTTCCAACGTTATCTTTTGCCGCCCTCCTGAAACTCCCGGCCCTGTCCTGGATAGTGGCATTAATCCTGCTTCCTCCACCAACCTATTTCACTTTAACTCTGCCCCCCCACACACACACACTAAGGAGGCTGCTGAATGGCCCACGTGGCGTGGCCCGTGTCACAGCCCTGCGTGGCTCGGTCTGACTCTGTGATTTCGGCTTCAGCGCTTGCTGTGGATTTTGAATGAGGGAGAAGAGCTGCTGGTGGCCGAGGGGGGAGAAATGGTGCATTCAGCCTGACCGGGGTGGGGGGTGGGGGTTGCTCTTTCATTTCATGAGAAATGATTTTCTCTCCCACGCAGATGGAAGTGCAGTGTCCTCCCGGAAACACGATCGGGTACGTGGTCCAGACGTGGCACCCCTTCACACCCAAGTTCTCCATCCAGAACGCCGAGAGAGAGACGGTTTTGCGGGTGCTGGGCCCCTGTTTTGTCTTCCGCTGCGGTGGCGACGTCAACTTTGAGGTGCTTATAGAGCGCAGGGAGAAAGAGGGGAGGGAGTAGAGGGCTCTGCTGGTCTTGTGGGAGGGGGGGCATTCTGCACATGCTCAGGTTGGCCTCTTTCCTGGCTCCGGTTTTATAAGAAGCCAAGTGGGATTTTTCTTTGGAGAACAGCACTTTTCAAAGAATCTTTAGGAAACTAGATTTGGTGATTTGACTCCCTTTGTTGGGTGGAGCTGGAAAAGTCACTTCCTGGGACTGGCTGATAAGGAGCTCACTTCTCCCAGTTCTGCTGGTGCAGAACTCCGCAGCCAGGCTGCTGATGGACCTCCCACGTCGGGAGCACATCCAGCCTGTGCTTAGGTCACTGCACTGGCTGCCTATAGCATACCGGATTCGTTTCAAGGTCCTGGTGCTTACCTTTAAAGCCCTATATGGCCAGCGACCGACCTACCTGAGGGACCGCCTTTCCCCGTATAGACCCCAGAGAGCACTACGGTCTGGGGCCCAACACCGATTGAATATTCCGGGCCCCAAGGCTGCAAGGCTCACTAGTACCAGGACCAGAGCTTTTTCTGTGGTGGCTCCTTACTGGTGGAACGAGCTCCCGGAGGAGATCAGGGCCCTGCGGGACCTTTTACAGTTCCGCAGGGCCTGCAAGACGGAGCTCTTCCGCCAGGCTTTCCAATAGGAGCCGCCACTACTGTTACCACCAATGATCCTAGTGAAAGCTTGGATCCCAGGTCCAGCACAGGCATATCGCCAGGACCAGCGGAGCGATGGATGATGATCAGAGATGGAGATCTGGGATACGCCATCTAATTCTATTACTGTATGCACTTTATTGTTTAATTGAGCATGTGATTTTATAGAGTTTTTAAGATTTTATGGTATATTATTAGGTACATGGTACCGCTTCGTTAGCCGCCCTGAGCCGTTAGCGGGATGGGCGGGGTATAAATATGATCAATAAAATAAAATAAATTAGCAGGGGAACTACAGGCCACCGGACTGCTGCCTCTTGCCGTGGGGAGCGTGGCCTCTGAGACGCCTTCCTGTGCCGCCGGGTGGGAACTGAGCGCGCCACCCCTTCTGCCCGCAGGTGAAGACCAGGGACGAGTCGCGTGGGGTGGGCCGGATCAGCAAGCAGTGGAGCGGCCTCGTCAAGGAGATCTTCACCGACACAGACAACTTTGGGATCCAGTTCCCCATGGACCTGGACGTGAAGATCAAGGCCGTGCTGCTGGGGGCCTGCTTCCTCATTGTGAGTCCCGCCCCCCTGCGAGCAGCGGCTCCGACCCCTGGGCTAGCCGAGTTCCATTTGGGGAATGTTAGCTTTTTTGCAAGGAGATCTGAACAGGCAGGATTTGACTTGGGCTGGCCAAACGTCCGTGATTTCCCTCCTTCCCACATAATGGTGCTAGTCCCCGCGAGGAGGGTCATCAACAGGGCTCCCCCTAAGCTGTGGAGTCTCGTGAGCAAAGATTCTACTTTGTGAGCGACCGGCAGTAAAGTGGTGAGCGAGCGATTTGGCTGTTGCATGAATTAGTTTGCTCTGGAGTAGAGATGTAAAATTTCTGGAAATTTTGAAGCTCGGGAAAAAACCCGTT